TTTTTTATAAATATATTTTTAGAATTTTTATTTTTGTATACAAATTGTATATTAAATTTTCATTTCTTGTCCTATAAAAACAAAAGCTCTACTTTTGGAACTCTTTACTTTCATGAGCAATAATAGTGAGGGTTTACATGTTTTGGTTACCTTATTAATTCTTACTCTTTTTTTTTTTCTTCTTCTTTATTCTTACTTCAATCTAATATTTAGAATTATCATTTTGTTGTCTATGATATTATTGTGCCTTATAATTGTATTTTCTATAGCTTGATACTTTGATTTTTTGTCTAGTCAAATATATTTAAAATAATATTAAAAACTGACAAATACCACTAAAATCACACCAATCCTATCCAAATTGAATTGGTTTATTTATAGTATAATAGTAGATTAGATTGGTTTGTAAATTTTATTAATCGATTAAATTAACTTGGCTTTAAAAATATTAAAATTCAATCCCATTCACACCACAAACACCCCTACATTTGATTAAAATCACTAACTAATAGCTGTTGGTAAAAAGTTAAAACAAACACCAACTAAAGCTGGTGCATGTATGTTCGTCTCTTTCTTATTTTGATAAAGTACAGTTTTAATTATTGAGGTTAAAGCCAACTATAGTCCCTTTATTTTTAATTTCTGTTCATTATCTTTCCATGTACTTACAAATCATTGAAAATTCTCCATCTACTCTTTCAAATCATACTGTTATATTCCCTCTACTTTAATTTTTCATAACATTTATCTCCCTCACCTAACATCATTTATCTCTCCCCTAATATCTTTAAATGCAATAGTTTATGTTTCTTTGTTCCATTGTTTTTGTGATCCCATAAAATTTCATGGTATTTTTCTGATGGTGCTACGTGTTTCATCAACGAAAATAAAAAATTATTGCTCCCATCAAAATTCGTACTTCCTCTCTTTTCTACCTTCAAAATTATTATTAACAGTATCCTCTTGCACAAATAATTACATATTTTAGTATTGGCTTTTAGAGAAAAAATAGCCACTTGCAGTACTTGAAATAAGAGTCGCTTGGGACAAAATACATTAGACTTGTTTCTTTTAAATTTAAAAATAAAGAATTTTATATAATTGAAAGCAACATTAATAATTTTGTTGACTCAATGCACTTCAAGACGGAGTGAATTGGAGTTCAAAAATTTCTTCCTTTTGTAACAACAAATTAAAAAACCAAGAGACAAGGGAGGAAAGCTTGCATAAAGATTTTATAGAGGTTCAATCCAAAAAGCTTGCACAAAGATTTTATAGAGATTCAATCCAACCACTTTGCACTTAACCCTCTACCTTGACTTGACTAATCAAGGATTACCTTCACACTCTCCACTAATGCTCAAGAGTAGAAAAAAAAAGCTACCCAATCCTTTTTTTTTAAAAAAAAAAGTTTTACTCAATTTCACTCCTTTTCAATCTAACCCAACAAACATCACTACTAAGCCGCTCTTAAAGGAATAGATCACACCCCCAAGAAGTCACTCACAAAATAAGATTACAAAATTGCAAGACAAGATCACTTAATGATCAAATATGCAAGTATAAGTATAAAGAATTGAATGTTTGCAAGAGAAACCTCAAGTGGATTGTTGAAATTCTTCATTGAAGTCTCTAAGAAGTTCATAAGTGTGTCCAACAACCCTATTTATCTTTCTCAGGTCAAAAATAGCCATTTGGGAATGTTAGATTGCATTAAATGCTTTGTAGACTAGTCAAATTCGAAAAATTAGCTGTTACTGTATAGTTAAGATTCAAATATAGCTTCCAAGAATCAAATCTTTAAGGTTTAGATTTTTAAAGATTTCACTCTTCAACCTAAGAGTTTAATCTTTAAGAAATTTTGGCACTTGGTTTAAAATGCCTCATTTAACTCAAAAGTCAAATAGAGGAACCAAGATTCAAATATCTTCCCTAAAGATTTGAATCTTCAAGTGAAGATTCGAATCTGCCATTTGCCTTTACAAGTCTTAGCACTTTCTATTTCTTGAGTTGAATCTTTAATTATTGACAGTTGAATCTTCGAGGCCCAAGAGTTGAATATGCATATTAAGAGTTGACTCTTCTGTTGTTTATGCCTTTTGCTTTATTTCAGCTTGAGAGTCTAATGTTTGAATAGAGAATCGAATCTATTTGCTTCAAAGTACGAATGTAGAACTCTATAGTCAAATGTTCATCCATTTCTTGCAATTTTTTAAGTTTTAAATGGAACCATATTAGAGTATTCAACTACACAGTGAAACTCAAATTCATTAAATATTACAAAGAGTTTTGTTATCATCAAAATCACTTGGAGTTCAAAAAATTCATCAAATTCTAAAGTCAAACTACCATATTCATATCCTACTATGCCAAAATTTATATATAAGAATAAAAAATTTAAAAAGAAAATTA